GGTTCCTTTAAAGGGATCCTTACAGGGGTTCTATAAGAGATCTATAATAGGGCTCTAGATTGGGGCCTTAATGATTAGAATAGAAATTTGGGTGGTAGTTATAATAAGGAACTCCCAAGATAATGCAGGTACTTATTGAGGCCCGTATATTACCATTCTGGCCCTTCTAGAAACCACTTCAAAGTAACCCCCTAACGCTAAACCCCAAAACCCCAAAAACCCAGAACCCTAAAACCCTTAACCCTCAACCCTAACCCCAAAACCCTCAATGCTAAAACCCTAAGATTCTAAAGCCTGAAACCATAAAACCCTAAACCCCACACGTAGCTCCCGGCTGCCAGAGCTGCTCCCAGGAGCGCCGAAAGGTTCGGCGCCAGGCCGGACCTGAAGTCTTTGTATACACACATACACGTACGTACGTACGTACGTACGTACGTACGTACGTAGGTACGTACGTAGGTACGTACGTGTGTATGTGTATGTGTATGTGTATGTGTATGTGTATGTATATGTGTATGTGTATGTATGTGTATGTGCATGCGTATATGTATGTGCATGTGTATATATACACACATAGAAATACACATAGAAAATCATAGAAATACACATAGCACATACATACATATGTTTGTTGTAAGCGGTGAGCCCTAGGAGCTCAGGATTGACGGCTGCCCCAAACCCTAAACCCTAAACCCTAAACCCTAAATCCTAAACCCCTAAACCCCTAAACCCCAAACCCCAAACCCTAAACCCGAAGCATCCTCAAGGCATCCTTCAAGTGTGGTAGGAATCCTCGAACTTCCTCGAACTGCGTTCCAGAGAAACGGATGGTTTAGGGCTTTAGGGTAATATAGTCTAGGGTTCCTTTAAAGGGATCCTTAAAGGGTATCTATAGCGGGTTTAGGGTTTAAGGTTTAGGGCCAAGTTTAGAGGATCTCTTCAGGAAGGGGATGCGCGGGTTGTAGACAAGCTACTGGAGCTAGTGCAGATCCCATGAACAAGCTTCAGAGACCTTGATTTGAAGTACAAACCGACTAGGGCTCGCATTCCATTATATAGTTAGGGTCGTTCCTGCGCGAGTGGTCTGTGTGATAGTTTAATTAAGCGAATCGCTTAAGTGAGTGAAGCAAGCGCATGGCTGCTTGATTCAATTACACGCAGGACACACCATCCATCCACTGCATGTGTAGAAGACCAGCTTTTACCGGTGTAAAGAGCGCATGCGCTGTATAGCGGAATGACAGTAAATTTCGGAAGAGAGAACTGAGCCAAAGAGTTAGTGGCAAGTCTGGTGCTGTACTTTATAATGTCAGATCCAGTCACTCGGTTCCTTCATGCAGTTCTTGTTCTCTTTCATTTAAGGTAAAGCATGCTTTCAATTCGTTCCACTCCTTTCTAGCAGAGCTTCCCAAACCTAGACGGGACAACAACATCTTCCTCTCGGCACTTACCCTAGCCGCAACCGCTCCGAGAACCCTGAGCGTCGGGCATTCGACTTTCCAGGTACAGCAAGACATCTCGCTTGCAGTCATTCAGCAAGAAGGCTTCGTCCTCAGTTGGGTTTCAGGACTTGGGGTTTGGGGTTACGTATTTAAGGTAGGAGTCAGAGGATGCAGAAAAGGGAGCCATAGGTTGAGCAAATTCAAATGTCCGCTTCAAACAATCCACATGCGTGTTTGCACACTCACGCTCAACCTTGATACGAAGCAGCCGAGATAACCAACAATAGGATAGTTGCTCCAACTCCATCTGCATGCATATCGTTACATGTGCAGCAGTTGCAACAAGCACGACTCTTAAAGAGGTACAAGTGCTGCGAGCAACAAGAGCAAGCTTGGGTCATGCAATGCATCGTATGCACGGCTTTCACCACACTTCGTTCAGGCCATCACTGCAATGCCAGATCGCCACGGAACTGTGATCACTCAACACGCGACTTGACGCTCAATCGCAGCAGCATGGTCAGATTCAAGTGGGTCATGATGGAATCAGGCCA